CACAAACACACACACACACAAACACATGCACATGCACCATGCCGTGAAAAATACACATTTAATTGTGAGCACAGGTGAAATGCCAAAAACGCCAAACTATCTGTCCCAATGACCTATCCTATCCTGTGGGATATTGTGTATGGGATCCATGAGTATGCAAAGTTGGCAGAGAAATGAGGAAAAGAGGAGAATGGCAATGAGTGGTTGGTCAGACTGAGAGGCATATATGGACAGACAGTAGAAAGATTTTTCGAGAGTCCATGTGACTAGTATTGTAGTCCCAGCTGCTGCTAGCCTGCAAGCCCATCTCCACACTGGCTGTCTAATGTTACTTTACATCACGCAGCCCTGAGACCAGCTGCCCCGTTGCCACCGCCCTGCTTACTTGCTATCCACCGTCAGTGTAAGCGTGGCCAGCTCTCTCAAGCTCTTGCGCTCCTGAATGCCATCATTGATGCCCTTGATCATACTGTTGATGCTAAGATACAGGTCCTGGTAAGTTGAGAGACAAAACAGATCAAACTGTTAGCAACACCTCATGGCTTCATTTCATTTCGAAAACACTAGCACAACCCCGCCATCGGTCGGCCATTCGGAAAACACTAAGTTCTGTGGGATAGCTGAGTTCAGCCACACGCCAGACTGATTATACAAGGTGCGGTACAATCACGGCACTTATAAAATTAAATGCGTTTTGTCAGGCACGTGGGCCGATATGTCACAACAAGCGGTGCACTGTCCAGTAGGACAAACTACACGTGTCTCTAGAGTGTGGTGTCACTAAGTAGAACACCAACATTTAAAAAACTGAACAAGTACATGTGACTACATCATCGTTTGAAATGTTTGGATAGAGTGGTGTCACAAGCTCTGGTCTGCCACGCAATATTATTTCAAGGCATATACTAGTACCATGATGTCATTCTCATAAACCAGGGCTACTGAAAGATTAGAATGTGACGCTGCACAGTCTTCATGCTTACCTGGTGGTGAGACACCAGGCTCTCGCACTTCACACTGATCTCACTGAGCGTGATTAGGTCCTTCTCGAGCAGCTGGATCTCGCGCTTTGCCTGCAGATCTAGGTTCAGCTCTGAAGTACGCATTGAAAGCAGAGAGGTGAGAACGAGTTAGCCATATCCTAGGCTTCAGTATGTAGCAGCAAACGCTGCCAGGCTGGGCTTTACACCAACAACTTTACAGCCCATGATGTTACACACTACCAACTTCAACATACAATGCCTATTGGCAGAATTCAGAAATTCCGACAGCCAGGCAATACTTGTTATCCGCTCCATGGGCAGAATTGGGAAGGATAGGTAACAGAGATCTGGGGAAAGGAGAAGAAAGAAAGCATTCTTCTGGCCGGCCACACACTGTGACCCACAAGTGCTCGCAAAATCCAAGTGCACTCTACATAAGTATCTATTTGAAGCGGACTGCTTCAAAACACATCATACAAGCGACGGCCTACGGGCGATACCTTCTTGAGTCTGTATGACGCTGATGTCCTTCACCATTGCTCTCCACATCAGTTTGTACCTAGTGTTGGCATCGCTCGATGACATCAATGAAGAATGCCTAGCACAGAGCAGAAATGGGCAAATCCACCACCAAAGCAACACACAAGTAAAGTCCAGTTAGAACATCAGCATGTTGTGTGCGGCCTGTACTCTTATGGTCTACACCTCAAAACAAGGCACAAACACGTTCAGAGAAACGTTGGAGTAAGCAGATCGGACCATCTTGTACTGTGGATCGTCAGCTCGAGAATTTACAATATCTTGATCAGGTCTTGTACGACCTCAGTAGTGCAGCCAGTGATGCATTCCAATCATCACCCGTGTCTGTACTGCTGCTAAATGATTCCACAGTGAACGGCGGCCCTGTATAAATATGAACTTACGCAACTGTTCCCTTTCGGGACCCTGTTCTCCGACGCACCGTGGCACACAGGAGTACATCATTCATGAGGATCAGAAGCCGCTCTTTGGTCTGACTGCCGACCGCCTCAGACACACGATCCTTGCGCACCAGCTGTCGATGAGGAGCCACCAGGCCTGGCACAACGCCGTTGAAGCAGGTTTCAATCTCACGCAGCAGCTCGAGATTGGTCGCCTGCTCCTCACTACGGTTCATCTTCTCCGCCAGGGCGCACATGGCGTCTAGGGCTTGCAGCAGTGGCCCGTGATCGGGATGATCGTACGGACAGTGCTTCAACAAATCCTGCATGCAGGTCCGAAGCACGTACATGATGTACACCAATGTGACTAAGAGGTCCAAATGTTGGATCTACTGAAAACGCTATGGTTACTTGGTGGTTCTTTTGAAAGCATGGTGAAGCAGGATAATCAGTACTGAAACTATTCCAATATAAAAAGTTATGCCATTGACATTCAGAGAGTGCCAAGATAGTTTAAAAGTAACAGCAAAGTTCACCCATCCATGTTACCACCGGCTATACAATTGTGTTTAGGACCTCAATTTGCTTAGAATGCTTTGCTCGTGCCAGGCCACCACCATGCCTGATCATGTTGAGGTAGCAGCTGCAGCACCTAGCGAAGACGGTGCCAAAGTACACGTGATAGTCATTTGCGCGGTGTGCTGCGCTAGAGAAAGCTAACCAGTTTTCCCGCTACCCTAGTCCCTACCTTCAGGATGAGAACGTAGCGAGGTATGCGTTGCACGGGCATGATGAGAAGGTCACTCAGCGTCAGCTTGTCTTCGCTCTCGCGACTTACTTGCTGCAGATCAGAGCCAGAGGCAGAGTACAGTAGACAGAGAGTACAATACTTGTATAGTGCAAGCAACGGATTTTAAATTGACAATGTACGTTTTACACGCGAAAATCCGGTGGAACAAAAAAAAAGTGATCAAATGTCTCTACTCACGAGTTTCATGCTGAAAAGCAATCATCAGGAGACTCCAATATACGTTTTATGTACACTGTGAAACTCTGATAAGATGTACCCCCGTCTAAGCAGGAAAGTGTACTTTGTATGCGAAGTTCTTATCCCGGCATACTTCAGTATGGATGGATACAGCCGTGCTGCAAATAATGTCCGTACTAAGCAAGAGTAGGTCTCCTTAGAATACGTACCAAGCGAGTTCCACTGTACAAACTATACCGTATTTTCCGGGGTATAAGCCGCACCGGGGTATAAGCCGCACCCCCTTTTTGAGGCAAAATATTGACTAAAAGTTGGTATTCGGAGTATAAGCCGCACCCCCAAACCAAGATTTTTCACACTCATTGACAAATGGCCTTTCTACAAATTTATTATGGTTATGGAGCTAAACACCATGCTAGATCAGATTATGAAGTGCTAGTGCACCACAGGTTGCTGCAGAGATGTTGGTGTATTGCTAAGTTGACTATACGCGTACCGTATTGTGTAGTCCGCGCACTAAAACTAATAAAAGTGCCGGGATAGCAACACAGGCGCGAAGCTGAGTCGAATGACATGTCACATGACGTCAGCATGCATACTGATGTATGCTTAGCATTCATTCGCGCAAGCATATTCGGTGTATAAGCCGCAGGGGCGATTTTGGTCCGATTTTTAGCGAAAAAAAGTGCGGCTTATACCCCGGAAAATACGGTAAATCAGGACTGAGTGACACGGATGTCTTGCATGAATGGTAAAGAAGACACGCTCCACAATTCTAGAAAAGCCTTCCAGTCTTCCACGACGCCTTCACAAGAGTCCTGTGCAACACCATGCTCACACTGGACTGTTCCAACATGATTGTTCCAACATGCATCCGGCCCATACATGCTACAGATGTCTCACCTCCAAGAATTTGGCGAAAGATGGTCTTTGAGCTATAGCGGTTCGCAAGGTATCCTTCATTTGCAGGAAATGATTGATGTACGCCGTGTACGCATGGCTCAGGATACCTTTAGAGAACTAACAGACATGGTATAACAGCACACAACATGGATAGCACTCCATCTATCAAGCCGTTGCTAGTTGAAAACATGCACCACCGTCAAATAATCATGTAAAGCTATCTGCCACATTTCAAGCCTAAAAGCTACTACCTCCATCATCATAAACTGCCAGTTACGATATTGTTCAAAGTTTCAAGGGGGTAGCCGAGATCTTAGCTTATGACCCAACGAGATCACTAACTAGCCACTGTTTACCAAGGCAGTCTCGGTAAGATGTACTGGGTTTAGCATGAACTACTGCTAGTATAATCCACCTGTCAGGGTTACACCGGGGCTAGCTGGTGCCTGGCTACGTCAGACCTTGTGCTCACTGCACAAGCAAAAGCCCCAAGGTGAGTGCAAAGTGGAGCAAAAACCACCCTTGACCACTACTTGACGTACGTTGTATGGGGTGACATCGCAAGCACTGGTTTGCCTCGGCAACGGATATTCACCATGGTGTCATTCCATTACATCATTATTTGAGGTGTTTGTATGGAGTTACGTCATAAGCCGTGTGACTGGTTTGCTAGTTACAGCTCAATACAAACTGCACATGATGATGTCATCCGTATAACCTCTACAATCGGAATGGGAGGGTAGACCTTTGAGTACCTACCGACTGCAGGAAGATGTCGCCGAGTACAGTCTGTGAATGCCATTTGTCAGCGCGCTCACGCAGCTGCTGATTGAAGCGCTTGTGGCACAGGTTTATCACGGGGATCTGGAAGAAGATCTCCTCGACGAGCGCCGACTCAATGTAACTGTTGCGCTTCAGCTGCGAGAAGTAATCGCGGACCAGCGTGCGCAGAGAGCCGACGTACTTCATCTCTGTGTCCAGCAGGGTCTGCAGGACATGTTGTCTCATGTCCTACAAGGCATACATACAAAGGGGAGATACAACAAACACACAGACATATTTGAAGCCATTAAAAACACCTAGAGTATCTCGTCGAAGAGATATGCTGCATAGTCAATGACAAAGCAAGGCAAGAGCCAGTCTAAACTATTTCAACACGCAACCTGGAGACAGTAATACTTATTGAAATGCACCAATGAGAACATTCCCAATGTGCAAGCTCTTATCACAAACAAAGCAACAGGGGTTGAATTCCGGAACGTCTTCTTGTCACAATCATCAATGGAATCTTCAATCTTGTGACTGGAGGGAATGGCGAAGCAACAAGAGGATATATACACTGGAAGTGAAAAGACAATACAAGCCTAGAAAATAGCTGAAAATTCACAAATATTACACTGGTAATTAAACTGATAACATACAGGTGTGCAAAAGGATGTGACATTCAGCGAAGATAGCAAGGCATAATGTGAAACGTCATTAGTAAATTTGGTGAGTGTAATTCTACTGGAATAGTGCAAGCGCAGTGACGTTTTCAAATGGCACCGAACAGAGAACATCACGACGCTCCTACTGTTCCAGAAATTCGCACTCACCAGATACACGTGCAATCATACTGGTATGCACTTTCACATGATACCTTGCTATCTTTGCTGAATGTCGCATCTTGTACATGTAGTATATTGATCCAACACCAGTGTAAAAATTGGGAATTATCAGCTATTTTCCGTGCTTTTACTCTCCTTTCACTCCAAGTGTACAAATATCAGCTATTTTCCGTGCTTTTACTCTCCTTTCACTCCAAGTGTACAAAAAGCACAAATGAACACATCCACACAAGTTATTAGGGAAGACTAAGCCACTGCATCGCCATACTGGATTCCATGCATGTTCAATCTCAGAACAATAACAATGTCATCAGGCTGCTTCTGCTATTGAAACACAACGATTCTCCCTTGATAGCTGACAAAATCAAAGAAGAACAAACACAAACACGAACACACAAATGTGTGCGCACACACAGACACACAGACACACGCACGAACACGCACACGCACGCACACACACACACACACACAGAGGGCACGTTCCCACAGCACGCACACGCTATTTTTCTTACATGATGGGTCATCTCGCTCTTCGGCTTGTTGGGAGGATGAAAGTCGATCGGCGGCGGTGACGAGTACCGACGGCTGCTGATGTTCCCCTGACCTAATACTTGTCCATAACTCTCAGACCATGTTTCGCTGGATACGGATGAGCCTGGGTGGTGGGAAGAACTCTGGCCGGGAGCAGCTGTAGCCGGTCTACCAGCCTGTATGGAATTGAGAGACTCGATGGACGTGCCTTTCGCCAGCGGCCGGCCATCCTGATCGACTTCCTGCGCTATCTGCGAGCTGCGCTGGCTGCCGCTGGTGTGCTTTCGCTTGAACAGGCTGCTGAGAGAGCGGGAGATGTTGCGCGAATCTTCTGCTGTCAGTCGGCTCGGTAGCGTCACGCTTGGCGATGCGTTTGCCGACTGGATGTACTTGTTGTCGTGGCCGCTCAAACGGCGGACGTCGCGCTCGTTGCGTACGCGCAAGCTGCCCGTCTGCAGTTCCGGATCAGCGCCGTCGGCCAGGTGGTCCAGAGACACGGACCACTGCTTGGGCGACAGCGGCGGTGACAGCGGCGGCGACAACGTGTTCTTGCCGTCCGTGCTGAGCATGACCTTCAGTGCCTCGTATTCCTGCGGCGGCATGCGCCTCTTCGCCTCCATCAGCGTGTTTGTCATTGTGTCCTCGTCCATCGAGTGACTCTTGCGCATGTGATGGCCATCGAGGCTAGAGCGCTTCGGCTCGCGGATGACTACTGGTGCGGACGATTGTGTTTTTGGCGCCAGGCGTGCAGACACCGGAGATCCAGTTCTCGGAGAGACCGAGTTCAGTGCCCGGCCATGCAGGTCACCGCTTAGCCGTCTTTCCAGGTGATGCTGGCGTTCGGGAGTCGAATCACGACTGCCCGGATGCGAGTGCTGCTGTAGGCTGGAACTGGTCAGTGATCTACGGGTAACCTTGACTACTCCCTGTGCGTACGGTGGACTGGAGTGACGCAGCAAACTCTGTCCATGCTCCGTAGAAGCAGCACGGGTCGATTCCTGCTCCGTACGAGGCACTCTCTGCCCTAGCGAGCCATGATCCACCTCCTCGACGCCATCAGCAAGATTGAAATGATGAAGATGGCTCTGCTGCTCCGGTGGCGATTGTGGAATGGCTGACAATGTTGTACCCTCTGGTGTAGCAGTTGTGTTTCTAGACATTGCTGCTGCTGCATGCTCATCGTCATCACCGCTAGCAGTACCTGGATGGGAACTTGATCCCAGACTCAAACCAGGAGTAGCTTCTCTCTCCAGTGATGTTGCACTGGAGCGTCGACCAGTGATACTTCGGCCAAATTTCGTCAAAGTCCGACGTACGTGAGCCGCTCGCCCGTCATGAAATGCGGACAGCTGTGGTTCAGGTGTGTTTATGGAGATGGCCACAGCACTGTCGGAAAGCGACGACGCTCTACCGTCGTTGAGTGATGCGCAGCTTGAGGTCATGGCATCGCCACCAGATGGCGAGAATTGTCCACCGCCACCACCGCCACTACTACGAGCTGTGTCACTACGACTGGCGCTGCGTCGATGCTCCATGTCTGTGTTGCTGCTGGTGCTGGTGGAGGGTGTCCGCAGAACCCGCGCAGCTGCTCGCTCGCTTCCCCGCTCTTCCTCCGCTTCCTCGCTCTGATGACGGCGGAATACACGATCGAAAAGTCGTGATAAAACACGGGTGGACTTGCTCCGGTGAGGAAGATTAGTTGTGTTGCGGTGCTCGGACGAGATAGAACCGTTGTGCGTCCGTGGACTCCGCACAGGACTGCATGTTGTAGATCTGCCGTGGCTGTAACCTGTCGTGCTCACAGATCCAGCGCGAACCACGGATACTCCAGCGCCTGCAGCAGATCCGTCGCCTCCATTTTCAGCCGATGTGTAGTCGACACCCGAGGACAAGGTCGTGTGAAACTCGGCCGAGTCCGCTGCCGTCGCTGTTCCTGAGCTCGAACTAACGGGATCAGCGGGTAGAACGGGCGATACGGTCAACGTGTTCACGCACAATGTTCGACGAAACAAACCCACAGATCGATCGGAGCTGGTCGGAATGAGCGGATACTGGGTTCGCCTCTCCGCCGACGAGCCCTGTTCCGACACGGCTACGTCAAAATACGAGAAGATCATCCCATCCTTGGGTGATAACACGGGCTCTTTGCCAGGGGAGAGCGGAGAGGAAGTCGACCTCTCATGATCTTTGCTACTGCCCATATCAAGATTCTTCAGGGCACGACGACGGTTGTTAGATTGCGCTGATGAAGGCTCGCTTCTATCTCTGATTGTTGGTCCATTATTTCCTGCTGCCGACGCTTCCATTCTGTGAGATGTAGACCTACTCGAGGGGTCGATAGATTGAGCTGGGCCTAGGCCGACATCGCGTTTGTCGGCTTCGCGCTCTTCGGTATTTTCGATATGCTTTTCATGAAACAGCTGAGCATCGCATACATCCGAGAAGAGGCTGGAGCTAGCGCACAGGTCCAACGTGAGGCGATTGACGAATCTAGCGGCGCAGTCCTCGACCGTCAGCGCTTGCTTGGGCCTGACGATTGCGCTGCCGTCCAAACTCACTCGGGTAACACCACTAACACCATTGGATTGTCCACTGGTGGCGTTCGCATGGGCTTCACTCACACCTGTGCAGACTGCATTAGCGGATGTGTGAAAACTAGTATTTGGCACGGGCGAATTATTTGTCTCCGTTGGTGGGCCTTCCGTTGATCTGGCGTTACTCACATCGGGGCTCAACGATCCAGCAGAGTTCGGTGAGATACGAGACCCGGGAACACTAGATATACGAGTACGTACATTCCCACCAATCGAATTTTCTCTACCACGCAAATAGGTGGACGAAGAGTTTTCCAGTTTGGGTGAGTGCTCACGGTCAAGGACACAATCAAAACTTGCACTGCTTCCGAATCGGCCACGCGGCAATCGGCGTGGTGGTGGTGTTGGAGGCGTTTTCGATGCTGCTGCTTTCAGTGAGGAAGCGCTTGCAGCTGCTTTGAGAGTGGCAGCCTTCCGCCTTCTCTTGGGAGAGTTGGTGAATATTTCGTTGGCTGTGCAGGCCAGCTCGATGCGCGCTGCGGCTGTGGCTCGCTTGGTTCGAGCGGGAATGTGGTCTGTTGACGACATACTAACGTTCTGCTTGCGCCAGTCAGCACACATTCAATCCCTACTCACGCCAAGCATTCGTGTGATCAATCCGACACACGAGCGCTTCCGCCAGTGATGTCTTGTTACTTGAAATGCTGCTGCAGCCAGCGGTGCCCTCCGCGTCCGATCCTCTTTGACTTTATCTCCATGACTTTCTAGTTTCTACACTCCGTCAGCTCCCCACTCCCCAGCCAGTACCGATCTCTCTCACAGACGTTGTCATATCACCAGTCACCCACGGTATGGTCGTGTGGGCCCATGGGGAGAACGCGACACCTGACTCCTAGCGGCCCACAAACACACATGAGACGCAAGACTACGGTGGAAACACGAGATCTAGTTGCTAGCTTTTTGCAATCTCTGCTGCAGGAACCCCCGAACAGGCAACTGTTCCTTTTTTCTCAGATATTTTGAGTCCTTTGCTGTTCGTTCTTCTACAGCTCCAGCCAGTTGATTCACTGAAGATGGTCAGTTGACGTTTGTGTGTGGTAGAAACGATGTTACGTCTGCCTGCATGTGTCAGCGGCCAGCAGCCTCTGAGCCTGAGCGGAGTCACCTGTGTCGTGGTCACGCCAAGCCTGACCAACAAAGAGCCATCGCGAGCTGTGAGAGTGTGAGTGCGACCAAGTCAGCGCATATGTACAGACGGATGTCAGTGTTTTTAGTAGTTGGTTAGTTCGCCATTTTCCGGCTAAAAGCCACTTCCGAGCGGCGCAAATCTACGCTTGTGTATGTGGCAGGTCAGGTCAATCGGTCTTTGATCGATCGCTCTGTGCAGATCACAAAGGCCTAGCCAGCTGCTGTTGCTAACCCTGTTTATTATGTTGTAGTAGTGTGCGCATCGAAACCATCAGCCGATCGTGGCGATGGCTCTGCATTATGCATAGCTAGTGTTAAAAAAAATAGCTGGTGTGAGTGGCCGTGGCTGGGAAAATGATTACGGACGAAACCGCACTCTCCATCCACAGGGTTATCATGGTTATAGGTACGCTTACACATGAAAGTGGTGTCAATAAAATAAATACTAGTACCTGATACAGCATTGGTCAAACATTGCGAAGTGAACTAATTAGACTAGTGATTTCTTCCCGGAGCTCATAAACTGTCGAACACTTCTTCCCGGATTGCCTTGACCCGTGATCATGTGAGGGCACCACGAGATCAAATCAAGATTAGCGTCATTGACAATGGTAAGCCCGCAATCGGACTTGGAGAGTGCCGATTTGCACCTAGCTATGTCTTCTAAGTGACCTTCTGGTACGTAAGTTAGTTCGTTGTGGAGAGGGGTTTCTTCTCTACTCCGCTGCTGAGGTTACTGGTTAGTATGATCGCGCGCGGGGGGTATATCATTGCGCACGATTTCGTGTACATGTGCATGACTCCATGAGTCATGACCATCACATATTCAGCATTTTGCTTCGAATCGGAAGTTCGATATCAATTTTATTTTTTCATTGCATTTGATCAGAGTTTTGTCTTTTTGACTACTCCAAGTATTTCAGAGTATTTGGCCATTTTTAGGTGCTCTTTAAAAAATATTTTAGGTATGAGAGCAAAAGACTTAGACCAGGTAACTAACTTTACTTGTTAGGTCAACAGAAATGTTAGGAGCAGAGAAGCCATTCCGTATCGGATGATGTGTGTTTGTGTTCGTGAGGAAGTTTTAGGTATGAAAGAGAATGCACCGAAAGTACAGAGAATACAGTAACTGCAACAGGTACTCATGACTCATATCCAGGTTAGTAGTAGTGGAAGTGGAGCTAGAACTAGAAGAAGCAGAGGGTGTAGAATGTTGTACATACACACGATGACTACACTACATACTCCGTACTACTAGTCGTGGACTCGGGGGGGGGGGGGGGATCGGATGGAGAGCCAAGGATAAATTTTTACTTTATAGTAAAGAAAAAAAGGACCAAGAAGCTACAAGTACACGTGTGTGGCTCAAAGATGCGAAGATCAATAAAAGGGGAAGCTATGCGAACAAGAATCATGCAAAACCGAATGTCTCAGTGAAACAGCACTGTACTTCGACTTTGACAATTTTGATGGACAATAAGCAGCGGTAGGGATATAGCAAGCAGCAGTTTCACAGGACGATCGTTTCGCCGTATACAATGTACATGTAGATAAGGACGGCTCATCAGGTGTGCAAGAATGGACTGGGATGGAGAGCCAAGGATAACTTTATAGTAAAGAAAAAAGGACCAATAAACTACACTTAGTTACGCTATAATGTCCACTGACACCACCAAAACAATGAGCTGATTGTTTAGTAACTCGTGGTGTTAGTGGACATTATAGCGTAACTTGTTTAGTTTCTTGGTCCTTTTGTACATTTATAATTACTACAGAAGAACCTTGACTACCGGTCACAGTGCTCGATACACAGCGTGCAGAGCCTAGTACACACGAAAATCCGGTGGAACAAAAAAAGTGATTAAATATAATTTATAATTACTATAAATTCATACAGTAGTCTCTGGTTTTTCTGGGGTTCCTGCCCCTTAGGCCTTACCATCTTGGCCTAGTAATAGTAGTATAGTAGTAAGTAACGTTACTTTAGTGAACTGGATTGATGTGACTGTCATCATGCCAATGCTTTTGCCAGGGTGTTGAACACGTAGATTGACATGATTGTACAGCTACTGTACATGTCCATGTGCTGTCACTTTCACTCGTGCACAGGTACTGTAATCACTGGTTCGATCACGGACTCACGGTCTGTATCATAATACACTTGTAAAAGGCGGTGGCCTAGCACGATCGAAACCGTTCCTAACTGGTTGTGTTTCTCAACGTACGTAACTTTACTTACTTCATAGCCGGTGGTAATACGGATGTGCGAACTACTTTAGTTCTCTTTTTTTTTTAGTTGTGAGCGGAACTAATCGGCCTTTCAATAGTACAATGTTCCTCTTCTCCTCTCCTAGATCCTCCATGCGATATTTAGCCGACTAGCTATCCCAAGTCGCGCACATGCACAGTGAGGATCATAATTCTTGTCACGTTATAAATATAATAGTGGTTCTTGCATCTGATTCTCTTGTTTTCTTCGCTAAATTATGGTACATGTTTGTACTTACTGGCATTTGTAGCACCGAGAAGTGACGTTGCCTCTGTGTTCGTCTTGGGGAGAGAGCGGTACAGCCCCAGCTTGTACAGCTTGTACAGCTTCTCTCAGGAATTGGCATAGCGGCCGAACACAAAACTTCGTATCAGACCAATAAACAGCACAGAAGAGATGCCCTTACGCACTACTCCTATTCAGTATTCAGAGCAAGAATATCATCAACGCAAAGGACGAGAGAGTGGTTTAATAGTGGTGTATTCACGACACTGTTGCCTGGACTCATCTAAATGTACATTTGTACATGTTCGTGTCGATACGATACAAACAAAGACCAGAGAAGTGAGGTAAAATCCATAACACGCTGATCCGTGATCGTTCTGAATCTTTTGAGGTTGACAAGTACATGTACTAGAGAAGTGTCCCATTGGCACCAGTCTGTGGCCACGGTGTTTCAAGTCACTTTCAAGTCCCTGTCAATTACTGTTTCGATATGTTCGCGTTTAACCCCCGGCCACACTCCACTGCACGGTGCTATCCCTTCTTCGATAATACAATGTACATGTAGATATGGTCCGATTCGGGTTTGGACTATCGTCACTACACTCTACAGCACTTGACTGTATCTCGAAGAAAAGGTTACATGGCAGGAGATCTCCGTAGCTAGTAGGTGTGCAGGATAGGCTACAAATTACAATGGTATGCGTTGGTATCTGCTCATGACAAGTGATGCCCCGCGGAGTTTCGACCTCGGGTCACTCATGATCAGTCCTGCATATCCCCTGTCACAAGACCAGGAGCTTTTCTGAGCTCTATTATGATAATACCATGACGCTGTTTTATAATGCCCATCAGCCTTTGTTGGCAGTGCAGTGGTGCTATCCCTTGCCCTTGCCTGCGACGGTTTCCACTCATCAATATGACTGTGCTCTCCCGGGATCTGCGAGCTTTGACAACTGCAGACCGCCACGTCAAATGTCACGATTCGATCATGAGCTACACGTTTCCATTGTATTCAATGTACATGTACGTGTCCAATAATATGGCAATACAACGCTGCTATTCAGATGTGGTAAATCTAGACGAGGTACTAGTGCACAGTAAGTAAGTTAATGGCACAGCACCAAGCCTGCCACGGTGGCGGATCAGAGACGAACCAACTCTTTACATCGACGGATTCGTTGTTCTGCATCTTTGAGCCACACAAGTTGTGTGGAATTAGTTTTGCTTTGCGTCCTTGAATCGTGGTTTGACCGTATTGTCCCATGGTCTTGCCAGTATCGTCATCAACATGCATATACATAATTATACATCTACATGTACATGTACATCCGCCAACGTCCTTCACAGCTGAGACTTGCAGCTCGTGTTTGTCTTGGTTGCGCTCACCTTCCCCTCCTATGTTATTATAATATTAACTTACAATGTACCTGTTGCCTGATGAATGTGATGATCGTAGTGATACGTGAAACTCAGAGTTGTGACACAGCTTCCAATCTCTCTTGTAACTTACCTGTATAGGTTACTTAGTGCTAGAGCTGATAGCCAGTTACATGTAGTTGTAGAACGTCAGTACCGTTGGTCAGTGTCGCGCAATGTTATCGCATGAGCTGATTGTTTAGTAACTGGTGGTATTAGTGGACATTATAGCGTAACTTGTAGTCCCTTGGTCCTTTTCCTTTCTATACAAGTATGTAATTCAAGGTGCATGTACATGTATATGAAAATTTTAAACTTATTTATCGTCGACATCATCATTATTATCCATCAGCTGATGGAGTTGCAAGGAGGAAATCCGGCTACAGGAATTGCTAACTCTTCACTTTAGAACACAAATCACGTGACATGCCTGCAGTACAATCACCTACTTGAAGTATAAGTATAACTAGTATAAGGCTACAATGTACATTGTATGTGTATGTAGTACATGCCTGTACCGGATTGATGGTCCCCCAATCTTGACCACCATGACATCCCCGAGGGCAGTTACTAACCAGCACCGGCGCTCCGCTCACCACCAGCAAGAGGAGCAGCACCAACTAGCACGGACACTGTCTGCCGGAGCCCGAATTGCCGTGATAGTTCTTTCCGATTGTTTCCAAGACTGGGATCGTCTCCCATCTGCCCGGCGCCCTACTACGCGACCTTCCCACGCAGAATGGAATGCAAGCATTCAAAGAAGGCGCCTACAAGTCTCTCCGCAGTCGAGACGTAGACTGGCACTCAGCCATAGATGCCCTATGAACCCTCCTTGAACACCCTCTCCGCTTGCACCATAGTTCCCCCTTTTTACTCTGTTACATGACTGCACATGGTATTCGATCACCTCGTTTTAGAACACCCCTAGGGCCTAGGGCTAGAATAATGAGGGTCAGAACCGGGTCTATGACCCATACGGTTCAGATGGTCTCAACAGGCCGGGGCTCTACCAACCGTGTGGATGGTTGTAGAAAGGTCACTGTTTCCGAACACGGTGTCCTCCGCCTTGGTTCATGCTGTCAAACCAACAACGTGACTGTACATGTACATGTATCATCTTCCCATTTTCACCCTCAATGTACTCTCTCCCTCCCCGACCTCCTGTGTCTACTCCTTCCCATTTTCACCCTCAATGTACTCTCTCCCTCCCCGACCTCCTGTGTCTACTCCTTCCCATTTTCACCCTCAATGTACTCTCTCCCTCCCCGACCTCCTGTGTCTACTCCTTCCCATTTTCACCCTCAATGTACTCTCTCCCTCCCCGATCTCCTGTGTCTACTCCTTCCCATTTTCACCCTCAATGTACTCTCTCCCTCCCCGACCTCCTGTGTCTACTCCTTCCCATTTTCACCCTCAATGTACTCTCTCCCTCCCCGACCTCCTGTGGCTACTCCGTCCCATTTTCACCCTCAATGTACTTTTTCCCTCCCCGACCTCCTGTGTCTACTCCTTCCCATTTTCCTGACCTCCGGCGTCTACTCTTCCCCACTTTTTGATGCACTGAAGTGTCCGCTGAAGCCGAGACCTCAGGTCGGCGGAGATGCTCGTGGTTTGTCGTAAAAAAATAAAAATATAAATGACTCGTTGCATGCATGTCATCAAGGAATGCGGCAGCATTGCGGCTACATGATTGACAGCTCCTCATTTAGTGCTACCACATGTAGACTACTGTGTCGGTTACCTTGTGAGACGTACGTACATGTACATGTATCAACTCACTCATTGAGAACATTATTTTATGATAGTGAAGTAACGCTGTGGTGAAGATACAGTCATGTACATGTACGTGAGGCGAAGGGGTATTCTCATAACCTACAGCAACACTATTATGGAGCCCTTGGTCGTAATGCTCCAAAAACTGGGCAGATTCTGATCGGAAAGCAGTGAAATACACAGTCATGTACATGTAGATGTAATTGGCAGAACAATACAAACCATATGGCAGGCATTTCCTTGAATTCTGCTCCATTTCGTTATCCACATACCAAACTAAACATGCATGAAACAAACCAGAAATAAAGTACCAAATTCAGCATTTTTTCCGCCGGCATTATCCGCCAAGGACTACACTACGGAGCAGGGAGTCGTATAATACGACTCCCTGCTCCGGACCGTAGTCGGCAGATCATCAGTCCAGTACTCCATATCCATGTTCCACACAACAGGCCACACGCGTGATGACTGATGATTGATCAGATGTGCTGTCAATGTCATATTCAGAAAAATAACAACATCAAACTCCACACTGCGCTACCTGTACTGTACTGAGTCTGTAGGCTGTATCTGCAAAATAATGATTGGCAAACGTTACATGCTTCGTGTACATGCACGTGGTGGGGACTCTGACTTGAGTTGTGCGGTTGAGGACTCGCCCGATGTCAACATGCCAACATGTGATCGCTAGACAAACCCCAAATGGGCGTTGACTATTGGCAGGGCCTTGTTGTATCAGGCTGTGTGAGAAGCTCTGCATTGCGGGTCGTCGGATCATCGGAGCTCCGGAGACATTTTGTCTGAATGAAAATAATGATGAGATAAAAAACCCAGCCCTGTACCAGCAAAACCCTGTGCAGCCAAGGCCGTATAGTGAAGACGGGCGAGGAAGAAAATATTCAATGGAATATTCGCCTTGGCTCTTGCCTTAGCACAGCACAATTGCGAGGAAGAGAGAAGGAGTTGACCAAGTACAATTAGGAGACTACCGCCCGTCTTCGTACTGAGTTTGCAGCAATTTCTGCAGCTGGCAGGGACATGAGGGTCAACTCTACAACTGATCCTCGAGTTAGTTCAACATGGAAACGAGAGATATCAGTCGTGGACACGTTCCCTTCGTGGCTGTGGCGCTGATGATGGCTGCAATGGCAGCAACACTGCCGGGAGTAGCTGCGCAGAATGAGTCAATGAGTGGGGATGCTGCCAGCGAAACGGCAGTCACAACACGATTCGCAGACAGCATGGATGCTTCCAGCAGTCCTCTGAAAACATCAGCGGTAAGCCATGAAAAAAATGTATTGCCATTTAATACTGAAATCCTTTGCGAATCCCAGGGCCGAGTGCTATTATAATAATTATTAAATCAGCCTGAAAAAAACGGAGTGTAAAGTATAGACCGTTCATTCAAACCCCACACCACCGTAGAGTCCCGCTGATAAGCCCAAGGCCTTAAGGGCTTATCTGTTTCACAAGGACATTTCGCTGGGCTTATACAAGAACAGTCATGCATGGGCTTATACGCGGGTATGGGCTTATTCATGCATGGGCTTATACGCGGGTATGGGCTTGTTCGCCGACACCAAAATTGTGCCGTTGAAATGTACCAAGGAAGTGAGAAGTACATTGCTGAAAGCCACTGTGCAAACAAAAACAACCCATGATTGCGTTGAAATGTACAAAAAAATGTCATGTACATGTACTACGACTCTACGTACATGCACATGGTATGACCAAGAGTCCATAATTTATATCATAATTTATGGACTCTATGTACGACCCAGGCCCATGGACTTGTACGACGAAGCTTTGAGCATGGGCTGAATATACGCGGGTGCACTGACCGGTGGGCTTCTACCGTACTCTAAGGCCCCGGTCACACCGAAACAAGCCACTTTGGGCTTGTTATCGCTGGCGCTCAGCTGGCTTGCGTGATCCCTGTGACGCGGTCACACCAGACCTTGAGTGCAAAGCTTGAATGGCTTGTTTTTCTTACCCGCCAAATTTTGAATATCTCGAAACACACCAATGTTTGCAAGAAACTGGAGAGCAGAACGTTCGCGATCTAAAACTGTACTTGTTCTAGTGTTCAGTTTTGATGAAGAAGCAAAGGAAGCCCGGATTCTGAATTGCGAAGTCGTGCTCTTTTTATTTGTTCGGTGTGCATGGACGCGATGGTTCGGGTGGTGTTTCCTGATGTCGAGCTTTCTGCCCCGGCGGCCGTTATTGAACTCAGTTGCAATCCACTGTCTTCTTCGTACCCGGCTTTCTTCATGAATTCGGTCGTGAGTGTGGTGCCTTGTCTTGGCCTCAAACCACAGCTCCAACAATCTACGCAGCAGTCTAGAGGAACAACGGCAGAAATCCATGGTCGTCGGACACTGACGAAATCCAAATCAAACTGAATACAGTGTAGTTGGGGTAGACAGACTCACGGTCAAAACCAAAGGCACAGGGATAGCACGGTTCCACGGACACAAGAAAGAACATCAATATCAGTTCATCATGTCAACTTGCTACATGGTGTGCTCCGGAGCTCCAAGCGCACTCAAATTATTTTTTAAATTTCGGCTTTCAGCCGCTTGTACAAGCTGTGGCTGAAACAAGCCGGAAAAAAACGGCTGAGAGTCAGCCACGGCTGAAAGTCGCTTGTAGGACATTTTTCAGCCATTTCCATGGTAATAGTGACGTAAACAAGCGCTTGTTTCGGCTGAACGGCTGAATCGAGCTCGGTGTGACCGCGGCCTAAATGGGAACACAGCCTTGAATGCATAGCAGTGAGCTAGTCTGGGGTCACTGAAACTTTAGAAGCTCCGATAGCATAGTGTTTGTGGTTCCATAGGGGGAGGACCAAGGCTTGAAGCGTAGGCAGATGTTGTTTCCCTTACTATAACAAGACCCTGCCATAGAGAATTGTGTGGCGCTCCCTACATGGGAGCTCGCGCTATTCCTGCCGACTTGAATTTTCACTTATGCAATAATTCCTTTTGTCTCTGACATGGAAAACTCCATTGTAACATACGAAAACCCTAATGCACCATGATTGTACAGTCTGTACGGTGATTTGACCATAGGCTTAACTCGGCTCAGAAGTACTGTGACATGTACTACTGTAAATATACAAAATTTCGGCGCTGCAAAATTTCGGCACTTCACGATTTTTGACATTTCGGCGGCGATTTATTTTCGGCGTGGGGTAGAGGGCATGGTATAGTGCGACAGATGCTGTGAAAAATTTCATCGGCGTTTTAATTTAGGCGTTTTGGGTCGGTGCCGAATATAGCCGAAATTAAATACATGTAGCTGCCGAAAATTTGTATATTTACAGTACCAGCAGGTGTGCATGTGGTGGGAGCATGCCCAGCCAAATTACCAGCATATACCATAATCATATGTACATGTACACTGCTAGCATAGTAAATTCACGGTTCGCGTCAGACTCGGTTTCTCTATATAGAGGCCGAGTTTTCCGCATCCGTAGGAACGCCACCACCCTTCAAGGATCAAGGCGCAGATGCAGCTCCTAAAGCGGTGGGAGGTGAGTAGATCAGCTCACCAGCATGTGGTCAAAGACCGAAAATCCCATTCACTGGATCCATGTTTTCCTCGTGCCAGGCCACGAGTTCCCAAGTAACTGTGGGTCGCAGCACGGCTGGAAAAATTCCTTCCGCTTCCAAGCAGGACTTGAACCTGGTACCCTCTGTTTCTCAACCATGGTCTTAGACCATCCCATATAGCATAGTACACTACACTTAAATAAAATTTAATAATATTAAATATTGTGACATGGAAATTGTGGGCACAAGTTCTGCGATTTCCATGTTTCATTTTTTTCCTTGGCTCACCATCTGAGCTCTTAATAATAAGTTGTGATGGTAACATACCCAGCAACACTGATAGCAGGACTGTATGATTGTGTTCTGCTCTTACATGTGCGTGTATGTCTTGTTCACTGCTCCACCACGCGGCGGTTACAGATAGTTCCCATTGCCGTGGGAGGCACGCTGCTCGTCCTTATCACACTCCTGTTCGCCGTGCCGTATTTCATGAAAGCCGGCGCCAAGACTAACATTCCTACAAGGGAAAGGAGCGGCAGCAAGCAGGAGTTGCTAGGTAACGAAGTCACGCCGCCAGCCAGTCCTGTCGCCAACGCCGAGCCAGATGTAGAGGTGCATCGTGCAACTGAGCAAAACAACAAACCATCTCCGGATGCTGCGAAGGAGGTGCAGATGCCGGAAAAGCCAACCCGGCCGAAGGCAATGGTACGAATGCAGTCGGACTCGGCCTTGATCAATATGAGACAAGTTAGCGGGCAAGATAAACCTCAGCTAGGTGCTCGGAAGCATTCGTTGATATCCCTTCAAGAAGTACCCGTTGTTCGACCGGAAGGCTTCGATATGCCCGCAAGGTGAGCCGCACATGCACGCATGTGCACACACGTCCACGCACACACACACGCGCGCGCGCGCGCACACACACACACACACACAAAACACATAACAATATTGTCATTTTTCAGTGTCCATTGTAACGCACACACTGTTGGGCTGCGGAATTAGGATTTTGTAGGAAATCAAGTTTGTTTATACGTCACCCATCAAAGCATCTGTAAACTCATCAGCATCCTTTTCCCATCCTCTTGCTCTTGATTAGGCGCATCAGTGCAACGTACGAGTCCATCGTCTCCAAGGATCCCACAACAGGCGGCATGACGTGGGATTGGCCGGCGTTCGACCAGCTAGGCCAGTCCAGTCTACAGAATCAGACAAGCGCACAAGTGTTCAGCTCATCATCCATAACTGCAACGGTATAGCCACGAAGTGATGCCGGGCTGCCAGCCCCGTGCGCCATGACCGTATTGGCTAGGGAGATGGAGGAGTATCAGCAGATGTACAGCATGGGTAGTGAGCTGTGATGCCGTTGACTTCTAAGTCCTCTACCGCGCACAAACTGCAATGCTTTGCGGAATATTCACCTGATTGGTTTGCTTGAACGCCACCTGTTTTATATTGTGTGAAGAACAAAAGTCCAACATCTACATGTATCAGCGTACTGTAGAAGCAGAAATTTTCGTCTGGAATTTCATTTCGTCTTTTTCGTCCAAGGAGCTTTTGGACTAAATTAAATGCCGGACTAATGTCGATTTGTCCAGCTTTTTAATTAATACACTATTGTGATCCATGGACGAAATTTTCAACCTGACGAACTCCCTTTCTTTGGAGTTGGACGAAATTATTGACTGACAAAATGTTCTGCCTGTACAGTACTCGGTAACTCTGTTCACTGCACTTACCGCTCAGAGCTGATCCATGGGATGCATGCTCCATTTAGAATCGGATACCCATACATGTCCACGGGTTGGTGTTCCCGGTGGCTATATTCTTGCCTGCACAGAAGAATCCCCTTGCTGCCATTCCGAGAGGAGCTTTCACGCACAAACTTAAGTTGAACTGCTTGTAAGTACGGTTGTCAGTTGGCAAGACTAGGTTAGGCAAGACACAGCGGAGGAATGCTGTTGCTATTGTGATTCAGTTACAGTTCACATGGTGGTATTCTCCATTGACAATTTCCAATATGGTTGAGCTTGCTTACTTTGGCCTGCAGTCAGGTGTGCTTGAATGATGAAAAGAAAATGATCCTGCAAAACTTAAAAAGAGACGGCAAGGAGACAAGACTAGGCTGGGCAAGACACAGCCATACAAAATTATCTTCTCAGGCTATTCTGGTAGCATAGAATGTTGTATAACATTTTAACGCGGCCTTCACCTTTCTTCACCTTTCTTCACCTTTTAAAATTACTTGCTTCTTATCACCTTTTCCTTTTTCAATCTCCAAACATAAGAGCACTATGTGACTTTCTATCAATAAATTAATATTAGCATATTAGGGGCCATCCGTAAATATCGATAGTTTTTCAACCCGTGAATTTTACAAAGTAACCAGGACCCACCACCCACCCCCCTACTTTTTACGGAATAAAATATTGATGACACATGTACTGTACCTACATAAATGTAGGTGGAGTCCATGGAGTCCATACACACGCAGGCATGCGCTCACCGTGTCATTCATAACTAGAAGAACTTATCTTTTTTGGCAGCTGTACCAAACAAAGTAGTCTGCCGTGCCATTTTCATGAGGCCACGCTCCACATGGGAACTGTTCCAACCATTGGCGATGTAGCAATTCTTCGATGTGGAGTTCAAATAAGAGCTGGACTTGACCCGGATTCTAATAATTGTGCAATAATTATACTTGTGAATAATCTGACAAACTTCCCTCTTTCTTCTGCTTCAACTAGTTCAAGACTACAAGAGTTTCGATCTCCACTACATTTTTTGGAGACAACAATCTACCTGTACGTGTGGTTCGCGAATTCGACGCACGCAGACCCACGCACACGCAGTACGTGTCATCGATATTTTTATTTATTCCCGTAGCTATGCAGAAGACGTTACTTCAGTAACGTCTGGCGCTAGCCAGGGTCCACCCAGCTTTAATTTGGTGTTTGTTTGTTTGTTTGTTTGTTTGGTTGTTTGTTTGTTTGTGTCACGCCTGGCTCTATCCCGTACCTGTCCCGTACCGTATCGCACAGCTGGCCATTTGCTGGCTCCCGTATCTGTCCCGTACCGTACCGTACCATCAAACACAGCAGGCTACAAACAGCTGGCCACAATATTATGTACTATATACATGTATACGACTCCCTGTGTGTTGCAACTGTGCTTGAAGGGGACGGTTGCACTTTTTGTAGCTCCGTTTTATCTGAGTTTTCAGTCGTTTCTCTTACTAGTCTTGCCAAGGAGGTGGCTCTGAGTCCACCAGAGTTGCCCCTGGCGTATTTCTGAATTTGCTGGGGCGAGGGTTCCGCGACGCGGTCGCCAAGGCAGTGTCTTTTCAGTCACGACCGTTGTCGTCCTCGTCTCTCCATTCGCGGTGGTGTAGCTGACCCCCGAATGGTTTCAAACTGCGAAGCTTGGAGGAGTACAGTGGTGGCAGAGGCATGAGCTGTGAGTGGAGACGGTTGCTGGAGATGGGTGGTAATGCAGGGAGAAGAGTTACGCTGCCTGAGTGGGAAATTGTTTGAACCTGCAATTTCAGTTCGAGCGCGGTGGACTTCTAGACGATGTGTCCTCATGGCTGTTTTTCAACACTTGGCCTATCGC